CAAACAGAATTTGAATGAGAAGTTCCCAGATCGAATCATCTCTCGAAACAGCGAAGTCAATTGGCCACCACGATCGTGCGACTTGACGCCTTTAGATTTCTTCTTTTGGGGTCATCTCAAAAGTAAGGTCTATGCCAACAAGCCAAGAACAATTCAACAGCTGAAGGATGAGATAATAAGGCATATTGGTGAGGTCGGGGAGCAACTATGCAGAGACCTCATAAAAAATTTTGACCATCGTATGGAGGTGTGTCACCGAAACCTTTGCGGACATTTGGGCGATATTATTTTTCACACATAATTGGCATGACTTAAATAACATGATCAGAGAAATAAATAAATTTTCATCAATAACAACTGATTTATTTACTATTGACTTTGATCCGTCTTATTGAAACACCCTTTTTATGTCCCTGAAAATGATCTTTTAGTATTCGTAGGTGTGGTTACAACACAGTCACATGCCACAATATCATGAGGGTGTTATTTTTACAGTATGATTTACCCTTTAAAAGTCCAGAGGGCCACTCGAGGTAGGGGGTTAAGTTAGGAGGCCATTTGTGTGTATTGGTGTGGAAGATAACATTTGACCCTAGCTTTAAGCAGGTTAAGAATGTAGTGATTGGGGAGTTGGTTTCACAGGGCGGTGATTCGTAGGAAGATGCTGCTCGAGTGGAACTTACTTCTCACCGATCGAATACGGAGGGAATGTAACGTATTTTACTTCACTGTTTCGCTGTTCTTTATATCACATTCATTTGTTGTATAACGATGACTTTTAACATGAGTAACTAATCGAAAAATGTAAGCATGGTAAAAACAAAAAATGAAAATGTTTTTAAAAAAAATGAAAATGTTTTTAAAAAATGTGGAATGTGACTAATGTTTTTTATTTTGTTTTTCCTGAAAACTCTCTACGTACCGAAAAACGATTACTCGCGTATAGGTACCTGTACTCGTATCACACTTTGATTATCACTGTTGTAAACAACCCATTTTTCATCGCCTGTGATCGTTCTTTCCGGAAATGAGTAGTTTTTGTTGCTTTTGAGCAGAGTCGCAGTTGGAAATGCGGTACATCAATTCGTAAGACATTCAAATATCGCAGCGATTTAAGTATCTGAGTGCTTTGAAATACCTTACAATGCTCACATGAAATATGAGGAGTACCTCTGCGATGTCCCGTAGCGTGTGACCTTGATTACTTTAATTCGTGCTTCGATTTGGCCATCCTCAACAACTGCAGACTACCAGAACAGTATTCTCAGTTACGGTACCATTTTCATAAATGGCACCTATCTTTTTTACTGTTTGTATAGTTTTTTTTTCTTTTCAGGACATGAAAAACCATCTCATTTTCTCCCTTTTTACTTTTAACAGAACATTATTTAAAATTCACAATCCACTCACTAAACGTGTAGAAACACACATTGAAATGTTGATTTCATTTTATTTGTTTTTTTTTAACGGCACATCAACTCCTTTATGGGTCATTTAATGCCTGTTTAATTTTCTTGGGAGCTTTGAAGTAATAAAAATACGATATATGTTATTCTGCTTTCACAATTGAATACATGGTAGATGATACTCAGCTTTTGTGTATTTCTTTAAAAGATTATAGGATATTATATGGATTAATATCATGAAAGAGATATTTCATGTTCAATGATGTATTATTGGTCATTTTACTATTAAAAAGGTATTGTTGGTAATTTTTACAATAAATAGGAATTGTTGGTAATTTTTTTTATATAAAAATGTATTGCTAGTATTTTTACAATAAAATTTATTTTTATACATTCATATTGTTTTGTTTTTGTTTGGTGGTTCACTATTTGCCCATAGCTGGGACCCTAACAGGTGCTACCACCCCGGTCAGGGTGGACCTCGGAACAACAGCAATTAAGAGGTGGTTATTGAAATGTTACCTTTCAGGATATGTATATATGTTACACATTTCATTCTCGTGTGTAACATGACATGTTCAAAAGTGACCTAGCGAAAAATGTTATGAACTATTGTACTTGTCCAATAACAGAATTTAATAGTAGTGCTCGATGGAAAAAAATGCGCGGTCGGTGTTCAAGTCCTGATAAACTCTTCACTTTTAAAACAATATTTCATTATTTGTCGAAGAAGCAATCCTTCTTATCAAATCGTCAGATGAAGGTTGTCTTCAATGGTTACTTTCTAGTTCTTTTTACCAAAAATGAAGGTGTGTGCCTCATGGCGATATCGTTGGATCTATTTTGTTCTTTATTCTTATCAATAATTTACCCGATTTCATCAATTCTCAATTTTGTACCTATGCCGATGACACAGCGAATTCCTCTTGCCTTAATTGGTAAGTGTGATAGGTTTGACGAAGTCAAATGTCCGTTGTTAACTGCGGCAAAATATAGCTTGTTAATTTTAACGCCTCAAAAACTAAACTTCTCTCTATTCATCATCTGAGAGACCTCTCTCTGCCTTCCATCATCATGGCTGATGCTATCCTCCAGGAAAGTGACTAGTTGCGCCTTCTCGGGCTAATGTTCACAGGTGATATGAAGTGGAAAGACTATATTGAATCCATTGCTAGGTCTGCTGCTAAGACAGTTGGTTCACTGTGTCGGACGAGACTATTTTTCTCTCCATAATTTATCATACATATCTCTCAGTCTACCATTCGTCCATGCTAAGAATATTGCTGCCACATATACTCTGGTGTCCCTGCTATTTATCTTAAGGTTCCTTGGTAAGATTCAAAGAAGAATCAGTAATATTATTGGTGCTGATATGACAGCTCAGTTTCAATCACTTTCCCACGACAATAAGGTTGCCTCTCTCTGCCTTTTCTATAAATATTTTCATGGTAATTGTTCGCATGAGCTATGGTACCTAGACTTTATGACTATAAACGCAGTACTAGACTGGCGTCGAGATATCATCAATTTACAGTTCAGCTGGATAGATGTAACCGTAAGTTTTATGATAACAGTCTCATTTCTCGTACTTCTCACTTGTGGAACTCTTTATTGGTTCCATGCTTTCCAATCAACTCTCATCTTCAAAAATCTAAATAAATAAAATCAGAAGACGAAACGCGTCGGCACGAACAAAGAATTTTTTTCCAATTGTCATTTTTAAACCAATTTGTCTTATGTTCAGAATTATTCTGAGAAATTTAACTATATTTTGTCGACATGGAAAACAAAAAAAAAAAAAACTTTTAGTAAAAAGGAAGCTACCATTAGCCAGAAAGACGCTTACACATGAGCGTCTTTTTTTTTAAATTTTGGATATGATGTAACTATAGCTACAAAACATTGCTTGCCTTGATAAAGTAAGTAGACGAAACGCGTCGGCAAGAACTAAGAATTTTTTTTCCATTTGTCATTTTTAAACCAAAAATATGAATTCACTCTCAATCGCTATCGACCGTCCCCTTGATTTGATTTTAAAAAAAAGTTCTTCTCAAGCACTTCTTGCAAATGGAACACTTTTCCAACTTCTCACGCTTTCCTGTCAACTACAATCCAAAACAAATTCAATCACAGCGCATCAATCGTGTCTTCTTTTGCTTCCTCTTTATTCTTCCTTCTCTTTAGTAACTTTCTCTCGGTGTCTTCCTCCTCTCTCACTAACCGCGTGTGTCTCAGTGGCTTTATCACCTTGCTGAGGGTAAAAATAATTAAAAACAAATAACCTTTAGTATTCTTCCCTATATTTTTGTTGGCCACTAGTAATACCGGGGTCTGCGTCCACTTACTTCTTCACAAAATTTGTTTGTCTTTGTTCACATCAATCTTTATTAAGTCTGTTCCTATTTGACACTTGAAGAGTCTGATGAGCCTCTTTAGGGATTAAGTGAACAATCTGAAGACATTTTTAAAGCATTTAGGCCTTTTTCATATGAGTTGTGATCGATACTGTCCTCACCGTCCCTATCTTTTCTAAAATTACTATAATATTATTCACCCAATAAAAGGCCTAAGAGCAACTCAAGGAAGAGCAGTACTGAATGAGATTGTTGTAAGGAATATAAGAGATAGATAACGTTTGATCCCTAGAATTGAAGAGGTTAAAATCTTAGTTATCTGAGAAGCGTACTCACGGAAGTTGTCTGAATGGAACTTCATCCTCACAAATGGAATACGAAGGGAATGAGCCGATTCTGTGTACGAGACATAGCAGGCCCTAGCTGTGAAAGTCTGAACTGAAGGAACTAAGGAATGTAGGTCGTTTGAACCTTCATGGCAACTGGTGTGATGGGCTTTTTTTTTCTTGGTAGCCCAACTACAGGAATTTAAGTTTGTTACTAGATTGGCATCTTTATTGCTGAAACATCTAAATGCAGCCACCACTTCTACCCCAACAGTTTCTTTTCTCGTACTTCCCGCCTGTGGAACTCCCTTCCGTTTACTTGCTTCCCTGATAATTACAATGTTAGAAAATTTAAATGCAACATCAATCGCCATATTCTCCAATCCCGTTTATTTTTTGTCCTTTCCTCAACCCCACCTTATACCCAGTCTTTTCTCTCAATTTCACTCTCTGTAACCCCCTGCGTACTAGGAGCATTCCCGCCTTGCTTGGGGGTGAAATGATCTTAAAAACATTGGCCTTGGAAATAGCGTTAGAGTACCTAGTGTCTATTTTCACGGTAAGTGTTCAGATGTGTTCCTCCTGTTTAAACTCATCTTTATTATTATTATTATTATTATTATTATTATTATTATTATTATTATTAATAATAATAATAATAATACATTTTCATACCAATAGTAAATTAAGATTTATTGACAGATTGTTTATTATGGTTTATCAACCTTTGCAGGTTATTTAAAGCCAAAAATAAATCCTACTAATTAAACGATAGCTGTTGAAGAGAAGAGGTGGGAACCTTTCCAAAGGATATTTGCGCGTCAGTAAACATAACGAATCCGGCTTGAATTGGAACTCGGGGCTCCGATTTCAATTCTGAACTATAATCCATTACACCACCCACACATCCAATCTTGCAACATCTTGTATTCCCAAGCGCGATCACCCATCTAGGCATTGATCAGACTCGACGTTGCTTAACTTCGGCGATCGTATGAGATCTGGTGTTTCAACTTGATATGGCTGTAAGTCATACCACCCTTACATCTAAGCTTACAACATCTGGTATTCCCAAGCGGTCTCACGTTTAGGTACTGACCACGCCGACGTTGCTTAACTTCAGTGATGCTTTAACGTAAGCCAGTAAATTAAGTATTAAATGATAGGCAATCTTCTGTCTTCTTACCAATTGCTGTTATCGAAACAGTTCTGCAGATTATTTATCCAGTCATTTCGCTCGACTTATCTGAACCCTTCCATGTGTTTCAGGGACTATTAGTACTACTGTCAACTTTATATTCTATAATTATCTTAAGTCTCTGGTAAGATCCAGATATTCAACAACAACAACAGCAACAACAATAATAATAATAATAATAATAATAAGATGATGATGATGATGATGATCTTCTTGAGTTCCCCGCCCCCAATGGTGATTGGAAGCTTGGCTTGTAGATACAATGAGAAAAAGTCGCTTCAATATTCCTCAACCGTCATTGGTATTTTTGTTGATATTAATAATGCTGTCTTTTAAATGGTTTCAATTCTTAAGATTTCCAGTTTTTCTAACAACTTTGCAAAAAAGTGTAGTGTTCTCGTAAGGATATGTACAACTGTCACTTTAATATGCTGCATCGTTTAAAATCTCTCCTAAATCTTTTTATTTTCCAAACTTTTCAGTTGTATTTTGTCATCTACTAGAAAAAATATCATTATCTATCCAACACATCTTTTTTTCTTTGTTAACGATAACTAGATTTGGTCTTTTGACCTAGATTGGGTGATCCGTTTGAATATCAAAATCTCATAGAATTTTATATTTTTATTCTTTAAGATAGATTCTACTTTCTGTATATATCATTGTTTTGCATAACGAAACTCTATTGTTTGATGAGTTCTTAACAAATAACCCTTCCCACCCACTCATCACTTATTGCAAACACTTATTCCATAAATGACGGTTTATTTTTCTCGTAGTCAAAATTTACTATTTTGTTGTATCCTCTCTTGGCCTTAATATAGTTCTTTTAGGATTTTGTTGCTAAATTTCTTTCTTCAAATGTCCTCTGCACAGCCATGTCACAGTCATTTTGTCTTCAGTTCGTTTTCAAATATCCTTCCAGTTATTTCCTTCTAGTTTTGGAATTTCCTTTGCATTTTTGTTCGCCCTGTTATTTATTAATTATTTTGGTCGGCGAACTTAATGCTTTCGAAAATCATTCTTAGCAAGACTTTATATTACTTTTCCTAAACACTCCAGTATTTCTGAAAGGGCGTAGAAAAGATGTCCGTGGATTAATTTTTTCTGAAAATGAAATTAACTCAATGGAAGAAAAGAGGAAAATAAGAAAAGAAAAACAACGAAAATAATTGTCATCACAAATGTTTCAATAAACCAAAATACAAAATGACAAAATAGAGTTTACAAAAATCTTAATATCCCAAATTTAAAAAAAAAATCGAATCGCTGCATTATTCAAAAGATAAAATGGTGGTATAAGTATCTGGCATGCCAAGTACATTTTGGGAGAAGTCCGTCGGTTCATGTTTCGGGTAACTTCGTAACTTTTCGTAATTCACATTTTTTTTTTCAGAGAGCGAAAACGCATGAAAAATTTTAAAAAATTAATTTCTTTTTTACTATTTTAAATCTTATTATTCAGATATTATTCTGCATCCTCATCTTGGTTGCTATACTCACAATATTTCAGCTGTTGTAGCCTCCAGACTTCTTCGTTTTTTACGACTTATCAACCCGTTATAGGGTATTTAGAGATTATTTTTAGATGGTAAGAATTGGTTTTGGAGATAAGGATTTACTGACAGAAGTTTTACTGTTAGTTGATGGTGGGGAGAAATGGATTCAGACCTAATCAGAATTTGATAAACAAGAAATTTTAATGTGGATATAAAGTGGGGGATCAGTTCTATGTTAAATGTGCCGTGAAAAATGAAAAAGACCGAACCGAGGCGCTTCATTGAGAGAAAAGTCATTCAGTGTGAATGGCGAAAACTCGGTGACTGATCGAAGATGATGAAAAGTTACTGAATATTGAAAGTATTGAAAGTTACAAGCCATTTCCCCCCTTTGAGCTGTTTGACCTCGGTCAGATGAGAGATCAGCCGAGATTGTAGCAATTTTGTAAGTTCTGCTTCTTGACTCTGTAATCTACTTGGTCAGATCAATCTTAGGAGCGCTTATATGCAATTAGGTTGGTAGATAAACACAGCTAATTAGGAATATACTTTTAAATTAAAACATTTTAAATATTTAAAATGCAAACAAACATTACCAAAAGAGGAAGAATGTTTAAGTTTAAGTGACAATATGATCAAAAAATAAAATTCAAATTTGTAAGCGAATGCTAATGGCATTAATATCTACGTAATGATTTTAAAATTTTAAAAGATAGGTTGTCGATAATAAATTTCTAATACACACCCGCCTGAAATCAAAAAGCAATGCCTATAGTCCATATAATATTTGAATGTCGAACTGAACCCTTTATTTCGCTCGTTGGAGTAGGCCGTTCTAGTTCCACGTGCCATGTCTGATGGATGTCAGTTATCAGTTATCTCCTGCTAATTCACTTCTCCAAGTTCTCCACTGCCTTAACCATGTGTTCTCAAGGACACATAGCACAGTGGATAAAGGCGTTAGATTCAGTGACAGGACCCAAAGAGTGTGAGTTCAATACCTGTCTAAGGTGGTGGAGAACTTGGAGATAACTGATAACTGATATCCATTAGACATGGCACGTGGAACTAGAACAGTCAACCCCAGCGATCGAAATAAAAGGTTCAGTTCGACATTCCAACCACCTGAAGAAAGCCGGAGCGTACAACGACTGAAACGTTGTGATAAATATGGCGACAAATATGAGGACGATAGTCCGAACAATGTAAATAGTGTACATAATACCTCATCTCAGAAATATAGACAGAGACTCGGGTATAATAATAATAAGAAGAAGCATAAGAATACTAATAATAAGAAATCGGTAAAGATTAAAATCAGGTTAATTCGGACATTGTGGGAAAATTGCAGCCTCTCGCCTTGGCTGTCATTCTGCCTAAGAGAAGATTCTAAAGCGTAGAGAAGGCAACGATAAAATACTACAGTTACGTTCCAAAGAGAGTTCTGCCATTTCACAAATAATAATAATAATAATAATAATAATAATAATAATAATAAGCTTCCGATAGACTCACTGAAGGGATTACTAGTATCCCAAGCCTTAAAGAAATACACAAAAATTACATTCACAAGTACAGCTTACGCCTTACGAAGGGCTTTATCTATGTAAAATGTGTGTGATCTTAGGGCATTTTTCTTTCTTTTTTTCCTCAAAAAATGTTCAGTGAAAAATGTCATGATACCATTTCTGACCTTAGATCTCTGGTTGGGACCCGGAAAGAAATGAGTATACACTAGAAATCAAAGGAAACATAATAATAATAATAATAATAATAATAAGAAGAAGAAGAAGAAGAAGACTGATTTCGATGTTAAAGGAGTTTTTCATGTGGTAAATTCAACTAATCCAATCCATTAATCATTGGTGAGTGGTTTGAACTTTTCAGAATTAGAAAAGCGACGAAGAAACTCGATATGATTTATTTTAGACTTGGCCAAAGTCTATGCCACACAATTTATTATATTTTTTTGTGAAGAAATTAAAACATTAAACATCTAACAATCAAACTTAGAGAAAACATAAAACATTTGGTCCATATGTTTTTTTGTTTTGTTTTTTTTTTTGCTGTTTTTTTTTCTTTTCTTCTAATCACTCGAAATAATCCTAAAATAATGATCATTCTTCAAATGAATTTATAAAATAAAGTTTAAAGGTTTTTTTAGTAGAAGAAGAAGAATCGTATACCAGAAACATTTTTTAATTAATCCAATTAATTAAAAAATAAATTGTAAATAATCTAATTAATGGTGTTTTTGTATTTTTTTTTTTTACTTTTTTTCGATGTTTCAAAATTTTTCCTTTCAGGTGTTTGCTTTTTATTATATACTCAGTTTTTACAAAATAATGATGTTTTTTATTGTTTTTTTTTTTTTACTGAGTTGAGTTTGTGGTAGACATTGTAAAAGTATCCGTCTGGTGGCTTTGATAAAGGGTTCTTGGTAATAATAAGGAAGCAATTGTTCTTCTGTCCACATTACAGGCCCGGAATTCCTTTAAAAAGGGTTACTTCATGAAGTCTGATGAGGAACTTTCAATCGTCTCGACACGTGGAACAAGAGAGAGTAAGAAAGAAACAGAGAGAGAGAGAGAGAGAGAGAGAGAGAGAGAAAGGGAACGAGAAAGAGAGAGAAGGAAATTCCTGTTCGAACTTTTTAAACACATAAATATATTTTTATATATCATATGCATATATAAGACGAAAATAATATATATATCATAAAGAAATAATTTATACAAAGAATTAAATAGCAATGTTAATGTGATTAAATAGCGACATCACTTCGCTACCAGAACTAAATAAGACATTAACTTACTATCAATTCCTGCGATAACAAGATCCTTATATTCAAGTGTTGTCAGATGGGAGACACATGCCAAGTACTTTCGACAATTTCAAACTGTCATCTTCAGGGTACAATTTTCTTAAGATTGTTATTTAATTCTTTGTATAGATTGTTTCTTTATGATAAAAAATATAAGCTGTACACTTTTAATATATATATATATATATATATATATATATATATATATATATATATATATATATATATCCATGTAAAAGGTTGGTATAGATGCAATAAAATAAAAACACACTATTATTAAAAGAGTGTCTAATATAGAGTAGAGCAAATAATATTTATTCAAAAATGGTAACATAAGCATGTTATAACATCGCTACAAAAATATCCATTTTCTTTCAACACTTCTGTTGTCTTATCAAGCGATGTTGATCGCAAAATTTATGATTTCTTTTGCAAACACCTTCACTTGACAAGACATCAGAAGTGTTGAAACAAAATGAATATTTTTGTAGTGATGGCATAACATGCTTATGTTATCATTTTTGAATATATATATATATATATATATATATAAAAGTGAACATAGAAGTCAACACTTAGAGGCGACAGTCTGTTTCATACTATATACAATCGTCAGGCCTCAGGATTGCGTCTAGCATGAAATAGACTGTCGCCTCTAAGTGTTGACTTCTATGTTCACTTTTATATTTACACACGCTCTATCTCTGATATTGAGCCTTTTATCACATAAATATAGCACACCTTAAGACTATATTTCTTCATATATATATATATATATATATATATATATATATATATATATATATATATATATATAGCATATCTTCATTGAATAATATAGACATATTGTGCCTACTTATTCTTATACATCACGTAGCTTCTTTTTTTTTTTTAAGCCAAGTATTTTCCATTTTTCAAGATCATCTTCAGTGGTAAATTACGAAGACAAACTTATTGTAACTGTGATAAAAACTGCATTCCGTTCTGATGATGATTTTTAAAAACGCTTGCAAATATGCACTGTCTTAAATTTATGGAGATTTTATCGCAGTTACAGTAAGTTTATCTTTGTAATTTATCCTTGTAGATGATCTATGAAAAGGTCGAAAACTATGTTGCCTTACTTGATGAATTTCCTCTTAACACCAAGAACCGGATTAGACAATTGGAAAAGATCAGTATAAAAATAAGTAAACAAAATATGTCTATATTATTCAATGAAATATGTGAATGAATATATATATATATATATATATATATATATATATATATATATATATAAACAAATAACATTTGCTAGAGTCATAGATGAAGATGTAAACGCCTTATGTATTTTTCCCAAACATTCTCTATAAATATTTTAGGTTCCTAAAGAATTCACAAATAAGAATGATTCAGTTTAAAAAAATTAAATTCTTTAAAATACTTAAACATAAAGGTTAAGAATCTTTAATATTATGAAAAAGGTGAGAATAAAAACAAATGACATATTAAAATAATAGAAAAAAGAGCATGAAAATACGGCTCAGAATGAATTCTTGTAGAAAAAAATCATTTCTTCTACAAGTTCAAAGTTAAAACATTTTTAAAATTATTAAAACAATCAAGATGGATCCTTTATCATAACTTTTGCATGCATATATATATATATATATATATATATATATATATATATATATGAAATTTCAACGATATTCTGCTAACCTTTTTCAGCAGGCTGATGCTTCTATCACGGTGTTTTCAGAAGTTATCTCTGGTAACGATTACACAGCTGTTTCCTTCCTACCATTTAATGCGATACTGAGAGGTCAGATTATATATATATATATATATATATATATATATATATATGTACACTTATGTTCAATATAATTTAATGAAATGAACGTGCAAATAGTGCGAAATACATACACACACACACACACACACACACACACACACATATATATATATATATATATATATATATATATATATATGTATCCGATATAACGATAAGATAAAGAAAACGTATTCTATTATTGTTTATCGGTATCACCCCATGCAAAGGAATAAAGCCCCTAAGACACAAGTTGTTACAAGAATGTGGAAGAATTAGAAACAGAAAAATTACTAATGAGCGGGAAAAGAAAAGAGTAATCAGGATAACAAGTAGGTAGCGACTGACATTGCATTTAAATGTTTGCTGATTAAAGTTGGCTGAAAAGCATGGAGCTGGAAGGGAGTTCCACAAGCGAGAAGTGCGAGAAAAGTAACTGTTAGAATAGACCTTACGACTACATATTGCCATATTGAGGAGATCTCGACACCGGCCTAGTATTGCGTTAAAAATTCAAAAAGTCTAGGTACCATAGCGAAGAGATCATCCGAACAATTTCTATGAAAATATTCATAGAAAAGACACAGAGGGGCAACCATACAGCGGGGGAAAATGACTGAATCCTAGTTGCCAGATCAGGACCAATAATATTTCTGATTGCTTCTTGGATTTCATCAAGAACTGAAGGTAAATAGCAGGGCTATATTTGTTTCTCTATCTTATCACACACACATACACACACACACACACACACACACATATATATATATATATATATATATATATATATATATATATATATATATATATATATATATATATATATATATATATATATATATAAATTCATGAATCATTCATACAAAAAACAAATATAGAGGTTAATGATTTAAATGGCGAGAATACATCATCGCAAACAATATAAATAAGATACACCAACCCCGAACCTGTATATGAATGATATGATCCCTGTTTATAAATTCATATACAGGTTCGGGGTTGGTGTATCTTATTTATATTGTTTGCGATGATGTATTCTCGCCATTTAAATCATTAACCTCTATATTTGTATTTTGTATGAATAATTCATGAATTTATAAATTATAATTGCACCTATAATTGAAATATATATATATATATATATATATATATATATATATATATATAGTTAGTTAGTTAGTTTATGAAAACCAGGTAATCCGTATGGGTAAAACCTAAGGAGGATAAAATCCAGCGGGCTCAATGTAAATCCAGAGCAAATAATTTAAATAAAACAGACCACTTTAAGGTTCCATGTAATAAATTATTTCACCACAGCCCTTTAAAGGACTGCGGATCATCAGACTTTACTTCCAAAATTTCTGTGGTGAAATAATTTATTACGTGGAACCTTAAAGTCGTCTGTTTTTATTTAAATATATATATATATATATATATATATATATATGTATGTATGTATGTATGTATTGCACACAAAAAACCCGTTTGTTACGTTCAAGTAAAGATTTCATGATGTTTTCTGTTTTAAGACTCTGTTTCCGGAATTTACAAACAAGTCGTTTTTAAGGAATTGGTTGTGTTTGGTCATTTGAAGGCGAAAGGCAATTTATCCTAAAATTCCCTCGCATATCAAAATTGCGACAAGAATATACAGTAGACCAGATGGTTGGCACAAAGACGTTACACTGGTCTGTGGCTGAACGGTCGACGGAAACATAGTTATCACGGTGGAGGTTGGGGGCTCAGTTGACGGTGCTGGCGCCGATGTAGGCGCTGATGGCAACGCCGGTGGCAATGGTGTTGACGACCGGAATGACACTGAGGAGGTCGCTGGTGACGGTGATGGCTGGGAAAGCGTCGCTGATGTTGTTTTCTTCGGCGGCACTGTTGGTAATGTTGTCGGGGCTTTTGTTGCTTTCGTTGTTGTTGATGTCGTTGTTGTAGGCATAGTTGTTGTTGATGTTGTTGTTGATGTTGTTGTTGTTGGTGGTGAGGTAGGCTTGGGAGACGGTGGAGGTAGTGGCTCAGCCCGACGAAGCATTGGGGCGATGTTGGCCCAATCGCCACGATGGGGAGCGGGCTTAATTTCAAGTAACTTACACATCAGCTGGTAAATATCCACGGCATTGATCCAAGGGACCACTTCATTTTTCTTGAAATCTGGAAATAAAGAAAACACGTGTCTTAGTGCAAAAAAAAAAAAAAAAAAGAAATTAAAAAATGTCATAGACGTTTTGATTATAAAGCGACGAAATAAATTACAACGTATATCATTTTTGTAAAGATTAATCTTTAAAATGTGAATAAGTCCTCAAGACAAACCCTTGTAAAACAGATTACCTTACTTCTCGCAGATCCATTAATATTATTCTCTACCGATGTGTGTAACGGTTTCAGTATAGTATCAACAGAGGTTTATCTATCGAAAAGTACTAAATGATTCGTACCTCACTATACAGTTAAATGCTAATTCAACTAATTTTATTGTCTCTTTCTGTCTCTCTCTCTCTCTCTCTCTGTCTCCCTATCTGTCTGTCTGTCTCTTTTCTTTCTCTCTCTCTCTCTCTCTCTCTCTCTATATATATATATATATATATATATATATATATGTGTGTTTTTGAACATAGAAATATTTGGTCCTTGCGAAATGAGACAATCGTTATATTCATCTTCATATATTTATATTTGATTTATATCCTGTAGTCTATACTAATTTTCCCAATTACAAAGCGGCCCTTTAAGTAAACACAATTTTATTTTCCTTCGTCCCATCTCTCTCCCCCACCCTTTCTCTTTTTTTTTTTTTATCCGAATTGTCTGTGGTGTGTATATGTCACCACGAAATGTATCTATATGTATTAGACATCCGTCGACTTTCTTTCTCTCCTCTTTTTAAATCCACCCCAACCACAAAAATTCTCTCTGTTAAGGTTTCATGTCACTCATCCTCATACTTACACTTTCTCTAAATTCTGTTTTGATTTCCGGAGTTGTTTTTTTCTGTTTTCATTTTGAATTTGTAGGTCTGATGATTTGGATCGTATTTACGATTCCAATGGAATAAATTATGACCATGGAATATTAGTGTTTAAGCCTTTTTATTATATATATATATATATACGAAAATGATCAAAAGGTATCAGGAATGATGTTATAAAAAGAAAACTACAACATATATCAATTCGTCATTTAACCACCTTCGAAGTAGTCCCCTTCTACACTGACATTTTCTTTATCCAGCTCCGTTTGCTCTTATGGAAGCATTCCTCGAACTCCGTTACTGGGATAGTGAGTAACTGCTTCGTCGGATTATCTTGTATTTCCTCGATTTCTTTAAATCGTGTACCTTCCAAATGGGATTTGTTTTTTGGGAAGGAAGAAAAAGTCGCAAGGGTCGAGATCAGAGGAATATAGTGGTTGTCGGACCTGAGGAATATAGTGTTTGTCCCCAAAACTGCTGCACAAGACATGATCACTCATGGAACACCTGTGGTATGATAAGACGACCACACTCTACACACTTTCCTTCCAAGCAATGCTATAAACAACAGAAGTGTGTAAGAATGTTATAAGTTAGTTCGCATACACGACAAAGTTCAAGGTCAATCTGTGCCAAGCAACTCCACTCTGCCTACTTTAGCTCTGTTACGATAGCAACATTCCTGATACATTCTGATATATATATATATATATATATATATATATATATATATATATATATATATATATATATATAGTTTTAAAGTGTGCTATATTTATGGGATAAAGTGCTCAATATCAGAGATAGAGCGTATGTAAATATAAAATTAAAAATGAACATTGAAGTCAACACTCGGAGGCTGTTTCATGCTAGACGCAATCGTCAGGCCGTTTTTTATATATATATATATATATATATATATATATATATATCATTTTCAAATATCCCCATTCCTGAAAGAATTACTAATTTCACAAGCCAAGATTCATGGTACAAAAACTAAAAAGAAACGGTTAAATTTATAACATATTGTTATTCAAAATATATAAGATATATAAATCAATACAAATAAAAATAATTTAAATACTAATTTGCATATATATATATATATATATATATATATATATATATATATATAGATAGATAGATAGATAGATAGATAGATAGATAGATGTGGATATGATAAAAAAACGACGTTGGATATTCTGTATATATATATATATATATATATATATATATATATATATATATATATATATATATATTGTGTGTATGTTTTTTCTACATACCCGGTCCTGAAGCAACAAATATTCCTCTCATATCTGGATACATATTATCGTAACCATGATAACCGCCCATATGTCCACCATTTACTTTGGGAAAATGCTTGTCTGGCTAAAAATGCAAAAGAAATGAAAAGAAAAGAAGATATATTTACACTTTCCAAATTAGTTGAAAATATAAAATAATAACAAAAAAAAAAAAACTAAAAAAACAAAAGTAAAAATTAACTTTTTTTTCTTAAAATTTCAGGCAAAAATCTTCATCGTGTTTTTTTTCTTTTTTATATAAATTTCTTCTGTAGTCAACAACCTCAAGTCAAAACGACAGAATAAACCCATCTTGGAACTCTTCGAAATAGAAATAAGAATTTGTGGTCTGTAAAAGATATTAGCCTGTATAATAGAATATAAGTTGACGATCTGTGCGGTTTATTCTTGGAAAAGTCCTATAAACTTTTTAACCACTTCCCGAGCGTAGACGTTTATACATATTTTGAACATCAAATTATTTGATAGAATGCTGATGATGATTTATAATGGGGAATGTAATGTCCTCAGTCCTAATGTTTCAGTCTAATAGACCATCTTCAGGACATATTCATAAAACATAATTAACATTAGACTGTACTTAATTCAACATGAAAAGACGATGGATATAAGAGTAAACAGACAACTGAAATTTTTCAGGATCAGCGTTCCGTTTCCATATGATCACGTCCTGAAGATGGTCTACTAGACAGAAACGTCCGACGTTGACATTATATTAACATTAAAACAACATAATTGCATATTATGATTTTTGTTTGTTTTTTCCGTATATTTTTCTCCATATATATATATATATATATATATATATATATATATATATATATGGGGGTGAGACAGAGCTGCAAAAAGAAGATAGATAGATAGATAGATAGATAGATAGATAGATAGATAGATAGATAGATAGATAGATATGCAAAATAGAGAATATCATTTCCTAACAATTACTATGAGCGTACTTATAGATAAGTCAGCTTTACGTCGGTGGAAAGGTGACAGAGGTCGAGATCCCAGGTCAGGACCAATAATATTGCCGATTCTTCTTTGGATTTTATAAAAAAAATCTTTAAATATACAGCAGTAACACCAGACTATATGTGGCAGCAATATCCTAAGCATGGACGAATGGTAGACTTATAGATATGTAAGATAGATTCTGGCGAGAGAAAAATTGTCTCGCACGACACAGTGGACCAAATTATTTAGCAGCTGACGTAGCAATGGATTCTATATAGCCTTTTCAATTCATGTCAACCGAGATTGTTATCCCGAGAAATCCCAATGAGTCACTCTCCTGTAGGTCAGCATCAGCCATGCTGACTGAAGGCAGAAAGATGATTAATAGAGAGCTGTTTTCCTTTGGAGACGTTAAAATGAACAAATCATCCTTTGCCCCAGTTAACAACAGACTGGATGGGTAATTTTTCGATATGAAAATAGAAAAAGGTAAACTGTTTCTTCATATATACAACATGACTAACAACAAATATTTATTGTCAAGTTGGCATTTATGCGAACGACACTACAATTTACTCCAGCCTCAAAAACAAATCTAGTGTCAGTGACAAAACTAACCTGGCCGTGCGTCTTGAAATAGACCTCCAATCGGTTGTTAATTGGGGCAAGAATTGGCTGGTCAACTTTAACGCCTCAAAAACTAAACTACTCTCTATTAATCACCATAGAGATCCTTCCCTGTCCTCTATTAGAATGTCTGATAGTCAACTTCTTGAGAGCAACTCTCTGCTCGGTCTCACGTTGACTGCTGACTTGAGATGGAACAAATACATTGAGTCAATTGCTTCGTCCACTGCGAGGAAAGTTGGCTCTCTGTGCCGCACCAGGAAATTTTTCACTCCGGAATCGATACTTCAAATATACAAAACAACCATTCGCCCTTGCATGAAGTATTGCTGCCATATATGGTCTGGGGCACCTTCTGTTTACCTCGGAGTTCTTGACAAGAGTCAGAGGCGGATATGTAATATAATTGGCCCTGATCTGGCGTCTCGTCTACAGTCACTCTCTCACAGACGCGACGTCGCCTCTCTCTGTCTTTTTTACAAGTACTTTCATGGTGATTGCTCCGATGAGCTGCTTTCACTGGTTCCCAGACTCCATGAATTCAAGCGACCTACGAGGCTGGCATCCCGCTCTCACCCTTTCACTGTAGAAACTTTTAAATGTAGCCGTCTCTTCTACTACAATAGCTTCATACCTCACACCTCTCGCCTGTGGAACACCCTTCCCAATTGCTGTTTCCCTGAGAGCTATAATCTCCAACTATTCAAATGTAATGTCAATCTACATCTCCAGTTACCTTGATCTATCCACTATCCCTCTCCTCATCCTTTCTTCTATCACTCCTATCTGCTCTTGCTCCTAATCTTCTGCAACCCCCTGCATCCTAGTGGCTTCACGCCTTGCTCGGGGCGTAAAAAAAAGAGGTATTTTAAAATTTAGAAAAACTCAAAAAACTAATAAACAGAGTAAGAATGATGACTTGGTTGCCTAACCTGAACTTGGCTTTCTCAATAAAATAAGAAAGAAATACATCATTATACTTTCTTTTATGTGCTGTGTCCCTTTAGGGCGTAGGCGATCATAATCCTCCACATCTTCCTCTCCTTTTTAGTCCTTAATAAGTATTGCCTTTTTATTAATTTTTTCCAAACACTATTCCGCCAGCCATTTGCTGAAGCCCATCAAGAATGTTTCACGTTGTTTTCCCTCAATCTGTCATGTGAGTATCAGATTTTCCAAGCCTTCCTTCCTCATTACTTGCCCAAGAAATTGCAACTGTCTCTTCCTGATGTTAAGTATAAATTTCCTCTTTGTTTCCATTCTCTCCAAAACTTCGTTGTTGTTCACATGTTCGGCCCATGATATCCTCAGCATCCTTCTGTAGAACCACATTCCTGTTGCTTCAAGTTTCTTCTTCATCTTTGAGGAAATTGTCCAGCATTCGCTGCCACACAGTTGTTCCTAACGAAATTTTTCTATCTCTTATCTTTTAGAATTCCTTTTTGGTCATCCCAATACCTCTTCGGATCTCAGTGTCACACTTTTCCTCTGTTAGAAAACTGCCCAGATATTTAAATCTTTGTGCCTGCTAGATTTTAGTATTCCCCGACATGTAATTTGCATTTTGGACGTAATCATAGCAATTATCAAACTTCATACTTACCGGTTTAATAATATAGTAGCCAATGTCAGCGATGGCCACGACAGGAGGCACACGATAATGGTTCTTGAGATGCCACCGATCAGGTATCTCGTTTTTATAGAAAACGGTTAAATTTTTGTGGTAATTTTTCAGACTTTCATACACCTTTGAGGAAAGAAAGAAAAGTATTTTGAAGAAGAAACAAACGTATGGAAATATTTACAAACGTAGTTTTTCCAAATACAGTGTGACCCGGATATAAGAGACCCGGATATAAGAGACCCGGATATAAGAGAATCCCGGATATAAGAGACCCGGATATAAGAGACCCGGATATAAGAGAATCCCGGATATAAGAGACCCGGATATAAGAGAATCCCGGATATAAGAGAATCCCGGATATAAGAGAATCCCGGATATAAGAGACCCGGATATAAGAGACCCGGATATAAGAGAATCCCGGATATAAGAGACCCGGATATAAGAGACCCGGATATAAGAGACCCGGATATAAGAGAATCCCGGATATAAGAGACCCGGATATAAGAGACCCGGATATAAGAGAATCCCGGATATAAGAGAGATTTTCTCTGGTCCCAAATTAGAGCCTGTGTTAGTGTATATAAATTAGACCAAAACCGGATATAAGCGACTTCTTCTCCGGTCCCGACAACACTCTTATATCCGGGTTACACTATTTTATTTTATTAGCCATTTTCGCGAAATACTAGCAAATGAATAAAAAATTACAAAAAAAAAATTCTTAAGAGGTACGATCGCAAACAATCAAAACCTCATAAATGATAGGTTGACCATGCATTGGCTTTGTGTTTATTAATTCTTAACTTCCTGTTTAGACCTGAAATGAGCGAGACGTTTATGAACTGGTAAAGTCTTATCGGAATATTATGAAGGAAATGGGACAGTATCAATGCTGGAGTTTAGAAGTCTTCAAAGTCTTTTTCCTTCTCGAATGCCACAATTATTAAAAAAGAAAGTAACTTACTTAGAAGGAATATTCTCGAAAGTGCGGTAACAAAAGCTTATCAAAATATAAAACTGTGAGCTAGGTTTTTTCAAATATCTCCATTCCTAAAAGAAGTACTAATTTCGCAAGTCAGGCTTCATGGACACAAAAATACTAGAGTTGAAAAAAAAAAAGGTTAAATCCATAACCTATTGTTATTCAAAATATATAAGATATAAATCAATCCCAATAAAAATATTAATTTCCATATATATATATATATATATATATATATATATATATATATATATATATAAAGAAATATAGTTTTAAGGTGTGATATATTTATGGGATAAAGTGCTCAATATGAAAGACAGAGCGTATGTAAAGAAATATAAAAGTAACATTGAAGTTAACACTCAGAGGCGACAGGCTAGACGCAATCGCAATCAGGCGGCCTGACGAATGCGTCTAGCATGAAACAGCCTGTCGCCTCTGAGTGTTGACTTCAATGTTCACTTATATATATAAAAAAAACCCATCAGTCTACAAATTTCCAGAGAGACAATTGAGAGTAGAAGACAAAGCCCTGAACTATGTAAAGTCTTTCACCTATCTTGGTAGCAAAGTCAATTACAGTGGAACTTTAGATGATGAAATCATGCATCGGATTGCTAAGGCTACCAGTGTTTTCGGCAAACTTCGTCATCCCTTATGGAATGTCCGGGGTATTCGACTGGATACGAAAATTCGGCTTTACAGAGCTGTTGTACTTGCCATCCTTTTGTATCGGTCAGAGTCATGGACTCCATACAGGTACCATATATGCCAGCTCGATGTTTTCCATAAAAGCTGTCTGCGTGCAATCTGTGGAGTTAAGCTTCAAGATAGGACATCAAACGTAGACCTGTTTAACAGGTGTAATATTGGAGGAATCGAGACTTTTATCATGCAGTCTCAGTTATGGTGGACTGGTCATGTCTTGAGAATGTCTGATGACAGGGTACCCAAGATCCTAATGTACAGCCAGTTAGATCAGGGCTACAGTAACCCCGCCCATGGCTAAAATACAAAGACAAGCTGAAAAGCAACTTGTCAGCAGTCAATATACCACATAACACACTTGAGCGCTTAGCTTTGGAGCGGGTAGAATGGAAATCAACGTGTTTTAGTGGACTCAGCAATTTTCAATCTGCTTGTCTGAATCATCTTCAAGAAGCGAGAGCAAGACCTAAAAGGTCAACCAATCTAACAGTGATTTCATCTCACAATCCTCATACTTGCCCCATATGTGGCCTCCTTTGTAAATCACTAGCGAGTCTTAAATGCCACTTAAGATTATCACACAATCTTTCATAACTGAATCAATAAGCTGGCAGATTCTCATACGTCGAAACCGACAGGAGAGTCCAATATTATTATTATTATTATTATTATTATTATTATTATTATTATATATACATAAACAGACAGATGTGGATATGATAAAAATTTTGGGAAGCAATAACGTTTTTTGCTTTTGTATATAAATATAGAAGGTACGGTGGAGTAATGGACAGCAGTATGGATTGAGGAATTGGAGAGCCGATTCCAGTCGGATCCATTACATTCACTTACATGCTAATACCATTGGAAAAGGTATGAATCCTCTTCTTCTCCCTCCATCTATGAGTAAATATCAGGACATACAGGGTTCTATAGCCTTGGACGGCAACTGGTCTACCGCAGAAAGAAATGGCAACCTACTACTGGAAAAATCTGCCTCGTCAGTTATGTATCGAAAGATAAATGATCGCCTAAGCGTGTATTACGCATGGCACATAACTGACTGACTGACTTTCCAGTCGAATCCATTACATTCACTTACGTACTAATACCCTTGGGAAAGGTATGAATCCTCTTCTTCTTCCAGCTATAGGTAAATTGCAGGACAGATCGTGTTCTATAGCCTTGGATGGCAACTGGTCTACCGCAGAAAGAAATTGCAACCTATCACGCATGGTTGATATAAATACTTATCACAAACTAAAATCCATTCATTTGCCTTGATAAAGTCCATGAGAAGACGAAATGCGTCGGCTAAGATAAATTTCCCTTTTGTATTTAACACGCACACACACAAACACAGTTTAGACAGATATTAGTTGAAAATATTACACCAAAATAATAATAAGGACATTATGAAATGGACAACGTCCTACAATTATTTTAAGACATTTTTTATGTTTATACATTCTTTTATAAAAAAAAATGTCTTAAATTAATTATCGGATTTTGTCCATTTCATAATGTGTGACATCGCACGCACACACACACACACACACATATATATATATATATATATATATATATATATATATATATATATGTCCATATATATATATATATATATATATATATATATATAGACACCAATATACTCAATTTAAATGGAAGTCATGAATTAAAAATTCATAAAAGTCTGTTGCTTCAGACTTAAGCATTTGGAAAGATTAAATTAATGATAAAATCCTGGGAAAAAAATATGAACGACACGTATGGATTACTTTTATCTACGAAGGAAGATTGGAGAAGGTATGCAAATTGTAAATGCTACAAAAGTGAGGTTTTATTCGACCAAATAATTACGGGCACATTTTTCTTTTTTTTTTTCATTTTGTTAAACTGACCTTTTTGACTTTGTTTTCTTGTGGCCAGACAGATAAGAAAGTTCCCCCGTACATGTGGTGAATGTCTTTCATGTTTAACGCGTGGTTCAAGTCGATGACCCTCTTGGGGGATATGTTCGTCATTCCGTGGTCGGAAACCAACAACACGTTTACGCTGTCTGTCAGGTGCATGATCTTCATTTGAATCAACATGGTCTCAAGGGCGTCACCAAGGTTCGACAGAACGGACTTCAGTTGGAAACTATCTGGCCCATACATGTGACCCACTTTGTCAGTGAGTTCAAAATAAATCGCTGAAATAAACAAAAGAAAATGGAGCGAATAAAAATATTGATTTTTTTAAAAACAAACCTTTTAGAATTTTAATGACTTTAGTGAAATTTTGTAACAATAATTTTTGCCTTACATTTAAAAAAGATCTTCATAGATTTTATTAAAGAAAAAAATTACCGCCAATTGTCGAAAATGACACCGAATAATGCTCAACAACAGTTTAACATTTATTTCTGGTATAAAATAAATTCTTCAGCCATTATTGTTAAGATGAGATTTCTTCATAGAAAGATTTTACAAGCAAGTAGTAGAGAATAATACTTTTGGATAAGGTGAAAAGAATAAAAAGGTGAAAATTTCATTTTTTTTAAAAATCATATCACCCAAGCAAGGTAATAAAGCCACTAAGATGCAAGCAGTTACGGAGTATTAGAGAATACGAGAAAAACTACTATTAAGGGGAGAGGACAATAAAAGAATAAGAATTAAGATGACAGAAGATAATGATTGACATTGCATTTAAATTTTTGAAGATCAAAGTAGTCTGTAATGAAAGAAGTCGGAATAGGGCTGCACAAGCGAGAAGCAAGAGTGGGGGAACTACTAGCATAGACTTGCATAGACGGTTACATCTAGCTATTTCAACTGTAAAACGATGAGACCTAGCCGCCAACCCAGTACTGCGCTTAAATTCAGAAAGTCTAGGTACCATAGCGGAAAGTTCATCAGAATAATTACCATCGAAGTATTAATAGAAAAGGCACAGGGAAGCTATGTTATGGCGATGGGGAAAGTGAATGAAGCCGAGATGCTAGGTCAGGATCGATAACATTGCAGATTATTCTTTGTGTTTTATCTAGAATCTAGAAATACATAGCAGAAGCACTAGACAATGTATGGAGGAATTGTAGACTTACAGATATGTCAGATAGATTCTGCCGGGAAAAATTGCCGAGTACAACACAAGGAAGAAACTTTCCTTGTAGCAGGGCTAGCAATTAATTCAATTTACTCTTTTTACTTTACTTCAGCAAAAACTTTAGCCCGTTAGTTATTTTTAATGCTAAATTTCACATAAGGCTTGAGAGCCACTCAAGATAGAAGGTTACAATCATAAAACTTGAAAGTCACTCAAGACAGAAGGTTGCACTTAGCAGGCTTGAAAGTCACTCAAGACAGAAGATTATATACATAAGGCTTGAAAGCCACTCAAGACAGAAGGTTACACTCAAAATGGTAATGCTGGATGAGGTGTGATATAAATGGAAGAGAAATCATAAAACTTGAAAGCCACTCAAGACAGAAGGTTGCACTTAGCAGGCTTGAAAGTCACTCAAGACAGAAGGTTATACTCATAAGGCTTGAAAGCAACTCAAGACAGAAGGTTACACTCAAAATGGTAATGCTGAATGAGGTGTGATATAAATGGAAGAGAAATCATAAAACTTGAAAGCCACTCAAGACAGAAGGTTGCACTTAGCAGGCTTGAAAGTCACTCAAGACAAAAAATTATACTCATAAGGCTTGAAAGCCACTCAAGACAGAAGGTTACACTCAAAATGGTAATGCTGAATGAGGTGTGATATAAATGGAAGAGAAAGAAGTGAGAAGATAGCGTAGATCTGTAGGACGGATAACGATTCAGCCTTGATTTGATGAGTGTTAAAATTGAAGTGTTCTAGGAAGCAACCGCATAAAGGTATTACGGAAAGTGGAAATTCTTGGAAAAAAAATTGAGCAGAACATTCTTTTTACAAAGGGGATATGTTGAGATTATGCGGATTACTGGGAATAGGCATGGATTATCCTTGCTGTGAAGGTCTGAACTAGAGATTGAGGCTCATATGAACATTTGCCATGGAAATATGGAGAGAGTAGAGATCTCCTTGCAACGTTGCGTTTATGGAAAAGAGGTTACAGTGTGTAAATTAAATCATCAGCTATAACGTGGGTTTTTTCAAAAAGTTCTGAGTCTCACCCAGAAGGAGTTGGAGAAAGAAGATAGTTTTTCACTATTTTTTCAATATAGTCCCACTTGCATTTGGTCCAACGAGTATCGCAATCCCATTACGTGGCTTCCTGGGCCTCCAAAACTCCTCCATAGAACACATCACTGTTTCCAAAATGGCGACCCTGCAGGTGGGATTTGTATTTAGGGAACAGAAAGAAGTCAGATGGAGCTAGGTCTGGTGAGAAAGGAGGATAGGGTAAAAATTCAAAGCCACAGTTGACAGATTCAGCTGCTGCAACCTGAGTAGTGTGAATAGTCATCCTGAAGAAAGAGCACACCTCATCTTTTATGTGCCTTTCGATTTGATTGCTTCCTTCAGTTGTCTTAATTCTGATAAAACTGTCCATTAATTTTCCAGGCAGTCTATCATAATTACGAATTCTCCAAAACAGAAGCCATCAGCTAGCTAACAGGCGCTGCCTGCTTAAATTTCTTCCGGTTAAAAAAACAGTGTTTCCAAAGTTTGCTTTGAATCTTTGATTTAGTTTCGAAGTGGTGAATCTAGGTTTCATCCTGAATTACTAATCAGCGGTGAAAATTTTCAGGGTCAGCCTGAAGTATCCTGGAAATGTCAACCCTTTTCAGCTTCTGCTCTGTTGCCAGCATTTTTAAAATCCATCTTGCAGACAGCTTGCTCATCCCAAAGATCTCATTTAAAACAGTGTGGACCAAACCAGAACTAAAGCCTATGGTCTTAGCTATCTGCTGGACAGTAAGACGTCTATCAACCAAAACTATACGGTGAAGGGCAATCAACTTGTTCATCAGTGGTTGAGGTTCATCTTCTGTGTTGTCACTGACACGCAGCCCACTTCAAGTTGCATATGAAGTGGGGGGGAGGGCTCAGCAAGTGGCCTCATGGATTTCCTTGGGTGTCATAGCTTTCATTTGCAAATACTTTATGACTGCTCGGCCCTCTGTTTTCTTTTTTTCTATTTTCAGATTTGTCGCCCACCTCTCATCTTCGTATGGGCCTAACCTACTCAGCGATTAAAACAGAAATCTGAATTAGTTTTTCTAGTTTTATAAGAAGTCGTAGTTATGTGACAAGGCAGATTTTGGATCCCAAGATTTTTTTTTCCACAGTAGGTTGCCATTTCTTTCTGCGATAAACCAGTTGCCATTTAAGGCCTGTCCTGCTATTTACCCATTGCTGGGGAGAGAAGAAGAGGATTCAAACCTTTCCCAAGTAAGTGACTGTAATGGATTCGTCCGGAATTCGAACTCGGCTCCAATCCGAGCCTCCAGTAGTTTGTTACCACCAGTGGCGTAGCTAGGGGGGGGGCGGACCGCCCCGGGTACCAGCACAGGAGGGGTGATACAATGTCACCCCCAACAAAATTTTTCAACCAGGCTAAGGTGCTAAAAATAGTCTGAAAACAGTAGTGGATACACAGGGTTTCGCAGGCAGGCATATGACCCCCCCAGAAATAATTTATGACCCCCCAGTTTTGTCCCACCTGTCAGAAATTTTCTAAAAAATTGTCGGGAAATTTGTGAGTAGGAAAAATAGCAATGTTTTCAGCTTTTGATTTGAACTGATTATTTTGTGGTATTGGATTTTGTCTTGGATCATACATGTAAACAGTAACGTACCAGTCAGTAGAGTAAAGTAGAGGTAGGGCATGTATGAAAATTTAGCTACAGCTAACCATTCAGCATAAGGGTGAATCGGGGTCATTGGGGTGACATTTGAGCGGACCGCCCCGGGTGACGTTTACTCTAGCTACGCCACTGGTTACCACAATAAAAATGTTGAGCTCTTCTTTCTGATTGAGGCTTGGAACGTTACTCGTAAGAAGATGTAAACGATTTAGAACTTCTATCAAGGTTAGAAAATGAGTATTGAAACCGTCCCAGCAGAAATGTAACACCAGTGGCCATTTTTTTTTTTTAGCGGGAATTAAGAAAATAGATAGAAAAGATGGACAGAAAAATTAAGGGAATAAAGATAAAGATAAAAAAAATGAAAATACGTCAGGCTCTTTACATCAAACGTCTTCTTAGCCTCAAGCTCGTTCCAGACCTCAAATTGAACTCACATCTTCATAGCATTGCTAAAGATGCTGGAGAAAAGGTTACTACCTTGGTATTTCCGAAAGTTCCTGACTTCTCTCGTCATGTTCTTTACAAGAGTCAGATCAGACTAAAAATGGAGTACATGACGGTACTGACACTGTCTAACCTTGAGAGAAATTAAAAAATGAGTATGCGGCCCTGTGGGTGATGAATTATTTTACGCCCCTTTCCTGCAGAAAAGCTAGCTTCTGGATATTCAATCGCTATTTCCATGCCAAATGTTCAGATGAACTATATTCCTTAGTTTCACTAATTCAGACCTTCACAGCTAGGATCCGCCATGCCATGTAGACAGGGTCGATTCAGACCTTCACAGCTAGGAACCGCCATGCCACGTAGACAGGGTCGATTCAGACCTTCGCAGCTAGGAACCGCCATGCCATGTAGACAGGGTCGATTCAGACCTTCATAGCTAGGAACCGCCATGACACGTAGACAGGGTCGATTCAGACCTTCACAGCTAAGAACCGCCATGCCACGTAGACAAGGTCGATTCAGACCTTGTGTATATCTAGGACTCACCATGCCACGTAGACAGGGTTGATTCGTCTTCATTCCTTTCGTATTTCAGTTGTAAGGTCCTTCCTCAGAACTATCACTTTGGAGAACAGACTCCTGAGAGGATACTTCCCGATCACTACAATCTTGACCTCTTCAAGTTTCCGTTATCTATCCTACAAGTCCTAATAATACACACTTCTACCGTTTCTTTTTCTGCCTGTTCTATAACCACATTCGGTAACCTTCTACCTTGAGTGACTCTTGGGCTTTATATTGGGTAAACAATAATATATAAAAACAGAATGTATCTTGTGAGGGTGGATATAGAGAGTTTCAACTAGAATTTATTTCAAAATATGGAAGTGGACCGACAGCCAAATTGGTCCGTGTTTCGGACCAGTAAAAGTGACCCTATTTGGTAATTAGATCATTTGGGACGCGTAAAGCTCAGACTGGCAGCAAACTGCTTGCATACGGACAGAAATAATAAGTTCAGATATACAAAAATATAAAGGGGCGTAAGACAAGGATGTGACGTCTCACTGGACTTATTCAACCCATAAAGCGAGGCAAGAGAGAATTAGAAGTCTTCTCAAGGTTCATTCTTGTCGAGCAACATCTTAACAATATGTTATACTGGAACACACCTATTCTTTAGTTAACAGACTCTCCTACCTATAATAAGTAGTAGTAGTAGCAGTTGCGAAATCGCTAAGTGAGTTGGTCCGATTTCAGTCTGAAGTCGGACGACCAGCTGACCGGTTGAACTCTCTGCCTTCGGGCGGGGAGGAACCCGAACGAGGCTACGCTGAAGGGCGGATTCTCTCGGAGATCCCACGTTAAAAAGGCCCTCGTGGTGGGGTGACTGAATATCCTCAGCGAGTTGGTCAGTCAGTCGATGTCGGACATTAAAGTATCAGCCACCACAACTAGATTGCTGCGTCATTAACTATTATGTCAAGTTCCTAACGTTTTGTACGTCGAACCTATTTTAGGACCTACTTAGTGAAAATACAAGCCTCCACTGTGAAACTACTTTATAACACAATATAAGATGAATCGTCAAAGCGGCGACTAGATGAGGTGAAGAAGGTGGCAAATGTTGGTCGGACCATCAAAAAAAAAAAGAAAAAAAAAAAAAGAAAAAGCGAATCGCTTTTGTATAAAATAGAATAAATGCCAGATAATACCCGTCTATATATTTTTTTTCTTGTCCTTTCATACAATTTGGTTAATTCTTGAATCCCCAAAAAGGGGTTAAATGAATCGAATAAACTATATATTAGGTTTATTATTCAAACTCAGCCGAAGAAACACGATTTCGACAGCTTCATAATTGGAGAACAGTTTCAATCCATGTAATCTAAGATGGCGACGATGGTGACTGTGAGTAGCGTGAGACACAGTTGACGTCTCTGTAAATGTGATACGTTCAAAGGGGCACTCAATATCTATAATTTCTTTTGAAAAGCGTAAAGGGAAACATACTCGTCAGATCATTATTGCGGATTTTAACCCCTTTCCTGCCAATTATTTTGGAAAAAACGTTTCATTTTCAGACGGATTTTTTAAATTTTTTTTTAATATAGTAACTAAGAAACTGAGGTACCCTGAAGTACCTGAGTGGTGGCTAACATCTCTACTAGACGTATGTGTTAACAATTGGACTTGTTTCAGTCTCAGAAGGGTATAAAAAGAATCAAGATCTTCTATGAACAGAGGTACCTTGGAGTACCCAAGCGGTGGCTAACAATTCTACAAGACATATGAGTTGACAATTAGACTTGTTTCAAGCTCAGAAATGCATAAAATAAATCAAGATCGACATATAAACACGTCTTTAGCTGGTTTTGAACGTTATGTTTTATATGTGTTTATTCGTCCGTGTCTGAAAAAAAAAAACACTTTCGGTAAAAATGTATATACACGTCTATACCGAGGAAAGTGTTTAGATTGCTTCTGTGCCGAGTTAAAAGACAGTAATGAAAACTGTTTCATTGGTTGTGAGATACATTCCTGACAACAGGTCAAAATCAGCCCTGAGACCTGTGAAACCGTTGCTGCAAATCGGCCTTCCGGGTGTAGGACCATCCGATTGGGCCTGGTGGGTGCTGAGACTTTCGAAACCAACTGTTAACATGAAGAGGATTTTGCGACGTGATATCAGGAGAGGTGGACTCCTCAAACCGCGTCCACTACCCACACACACCTCTGTGACTCCTGCTCACGACTCTTCAGGAGTAGGCTGGCTCGTCACAGCCATCTTCGCCACCGACACCAGAGGGGAAAAAAGGGGATAAGGAGAGAGGATGAAGAGGAGGCTCGGAAACGAAAGGGTACCGATTACGACTTCGAATGTCCATTGTGATATAACAGATGAGAGATGAGAAATCGGGGAGCCGAGTTCGAATCCCAGTCGGGTTCATTATATTCACTTACGCGTAAATAGCCTTGGAAACGGTATGAATCCTTCTCTTCTCTCCAAGCTATGGGTTAAATAGCAAAACAGAGTCCTATAGCCTTGTTTGGCAACCAGTCTAGCACAGAAAAAACGGCAGTCGACTGCGGCAAAACCTTCTGTTTCTATTCATTCATGAATCGAAATAGATATGATCGCACAAGTGTTTATCGCCTATGGCACTTAACTGAGTGAATCTTAGGAATTCACATCTGCTGATGTTAAATGAAAACTTATTTCAGGATTTGCTCATTTTACTCAGTTGCTATGGAAAGCTAAAAAGAGAAAGTCAATCATTTTAGGGTTAAATGCCTCAACAGGTTTATAAGCGATAATTTTCATCAAAACGTTCCTGACAACTACACTTCCTCTTCCATTTATTCAAGTTAACAGCTTCCGACCAGCAAATAAAAGATAGATATTAATAGATTGAGATGGATAGATAGATAGATATAAAAAGACTGTTTAGATAGATAGATAGATATGAAAAGACAGATAAATAAATATTAACACACACACACGTACATACACACACACACACACACACACACACATATATATATATATATATATATATATATATAGATAGATAGATAGATAGATATGAAAAGACAGATAAATAAATATTAACACACACACACGTACACACACACACACACACACACATATATATATATATATATATAAATATATATATATATATATATATATATATATAGATACATAGATAGATAGATAGATAGATAGATAGATAGATAGATAGATATGAAAAGACAGATAAATAAATATTAACACACACACACGTACATACACACACACACACATATATATATATATATATATATATATATATATATATATATAGATAGATAGATAGATAGATAGATAGATAGATATTAACAGAAAGTGATAAGTAGGTAGATATATATTAACGGAAATGTAGATAGATAGATATATAGATAGATATGAAAAACTGCTAATATTAATACACACACACTAATAGATAGATAGATAGATATATAGATAGATAGATAGATATTAACAAAATGTGATAAGTAGATAGATAGATAGATAGATATGAAAAGACAGATAAATAAATATTAACACACACACGCACATACGCACACACAAACACACACACACATATATATATAGATAGATATTAACAAAGTGATAAGTAGGTAGATATATATTAACGGAAATATAGATAGATAGATAGATAGATAGATAGATAGATAGATAGATAGATATGAACAAACTGCTAAATAAATATTAATACACACACAGATAGATAGATAGATAGATAGATAGATAGATAGATAGATATGAACAGGTTGAGATAGATAGATAGATAGATAGATAGATAGATAGATAGATAGATAGATAGATAGATACGAACGGATTGAGATAGCTAGCTATCTAGATAGATAGATTGATATGAACAGTCATAGATAGATATGAAAATACTGCCATAAATAGACAGATATTAACATACTATGACATAAATATTTAAAAAAAAACTCGATAGATAGCTAGATAGCTAGCTAGATAGATAGATTGGAACAGCCTGAGATAGATAAATAGTAAAAATGCTGACATAGATATATTTGAGGCTATAGATAGATTCCCATCTGTAGACAGATTTCAGGGCGTGGGAGGTGGGGAGTACTCAACCGGAAGGGAAAAGACGAATCAACTGTTACCAATTCCCAAGATTTAATCTTCATTCCTCTCTGATCTCCTCTTTACCAATTACCCTCCCATCTGCCGTTCCCATAATCAGCCCACATAACCGTTAATTTGACCTGAATCACGCTTATGATAAACTTCAAATTAGGGTCACGTTCATTTTCACAACCTATCCAATATATCGGCCCCTATCACTGGCGCAGGAAAGCGAAAACAAGGCACATTGATGGCATGACTGGAGATAGTCGCTAAATTTATCTTTGTTTGCTACAAGGTTGGAAGCTGAGGAGATCAAATTTGGCAGACCAATTCACTTAAAGAAACCTTCCTAGAGTGCTGGAGTGATCACACATGCGACAGGAAATTTTTCTCCCCGGAATCGATCCTCCAGATCTACAAATCAACAATTCGCCCGTGTGTAGAGTATTGCTGCCATATATGGTCTGGTGCCCCTTCTGTTTGCCTCGGGGTTCTTGATAGGCTCCAGAGGCGGATATGCAATGTAGTTGGCCCTGCTCTGGCATCTCGTCTACAGTCACTTTCTCACAGACGCGCCGTCGCCTCTCTCTGTCTGTTTTATAAATACTTTCATGGCATTTGCTCCTAGGAGCTGCATTCGCTGGTTCCCAGACTTCATGAGTTCAAGCGCCTTACGAGGCTGGCATCCCGCTCTCACCCCTTCACTGTCGAAACTCCTAAATGTAGCCGTCGCTTCTACTCCAATAGCTTCATGTCTCGCATCTCTCGCCTGTGGAACTCCCTTCCCTATTCTAATTTCCCTGAGAGCTATAATCTCAAATGTAATGTCAATCGACATCTCCAGTTGCCTTGATCTATCCACTACCCTTCTCCTCATCCTTTCTTCTATCACTCCTATCTGATCTTGCTCTAAATTTTCTTTTAACCCCTTGCGTCCTAGTGGCTTCCCGCCTTGCTTGGGGTGAAACGCTTAAAAAAAAAATTAGAAATTGTGATTTTAGTGTGATTTAGTTAAACTTTTGTCTGATTCTGTCTTTATACCAGAAAATTAAACTTCCTCATCCAAAAATAGGGTTGGTTGATTTTTCACGTTTTTTTTAGAAAATCAACATGGCATTTAGCGTAAAAGCTGGGGTTTCCTGTGATAAGTATTGACACCAAAAATTAGATTAATAGCTTTTACTCGTTTTTGATCATTTTAGTTTAAATATCGTCTGAAAGATGGACATCTAATTTCCGTAGGTTTTCGCTTACAAACTGACTTCAAAATTTTACTATTTCAAGAATAAATCCAAATAAAGTTGATATTTTTTGTATTAGATACATTGAATGAAAAATATATTTAAACCAGAATTCTAATTATGAATCACCACAAGCAGAATATGCAGTTTTTTTTTACTGTATTCATAAGTAAAAAGTCTGTAAAAAAAATTGTAAAAGATTACAAAAAAAAGGCTACTCAATGAATAAAATTTATTAGATCATTTGTTAGATCATAATTATTAAAACCAAAAAATAGATAAAAGTGTATATAACACCATAATACTGCTGGACACAAATTATAAGACAAAATATTTTAAATTTGCATTGTTTATTGAAAATCAGACTAAAACTACTGCACTGTACTATAATATATTACAAAATAATATAGCTAAATTGTTCAATATAATTTCCCTTTGAAGTAAATGAAGGTCTTATTTGATGGCAAAATGATTTAGTAATAATGTGCTTGTGCCATGCATCTTGTCCATATACAATTTTGAAAGCTTCAGTAAATTATAAAATTTATAAGGCTGTACCATGGTCACCGTAATGAAATTCCAACGCTACGATTTTGAGCCTAAACATAATCTTTAAAACTTATCTCCTCAAGAAAACGGTTAAGATCTGTGAAAAATACTTTGTGTCTTTACTTATCATTTTATATATATAAATAATGCGCTTGTGCCATGCATCTTGTCCATATACAATTTGTAAAACTTCAGTAAATTATAAATTTTATAAGGCCGTGCTATAAGACTTTCATTGATCACCGTAATGAAATTCCAACGCTACGATTTCGAACCTAAACATAATCTTTAAACTCGTCTCCTCAACCCCCACCCCCAAAAAACGGTAAAGATCCGTGAAAAACAGTTTGAGTTATTACTTATCATGTCAACCCCCCAACTTTCAAATTGAATGCATTGCCACGGTTCCAAAATCAACCTGCCCTATCGTAGCAATGGATCACCGCTCTAGAAAACTCATGACCCCTTCTGCCACACTTTATCTTTATAAGAGTCAGGCTAAACGAAAAAATGAAGCTGGAGCTACCCAATCTTCACTTTCTAGCCTTGATAGTGTTCAAAAGCGTTTGTGCTTCCCTGTGAGTGATTCCTCACATTTCAATCTCTTTCTAACAGACACACCATCACAAATCAATCCCTATCTTATCGATATCTCCATGGCAAATATTCATATGAACCCCATTCTTTAGTTCAACAAGTTAAGACCTTTACGACTAAGAGGTTCCTTGCTATTTACGCGGAGTCAAATCACCTTCATTTCTTTTGTATTCCACGTAAAAGGTGAAAGTGTAATTCATACAGCTTTCTCCCAAGACCTGAGATTTTGCGGGACAGACTCTCACATAGATGCTTTCCTGAACACTACAACTTTAAGCACACCAATCGTTATCTTTCCTCCTTATCTTCATGATATTTACATCCAACCATCTTTGCTTTCATTCATATAACACCGCATTCATCATAAACATTTAGCAGTAAACCTCTACCTTGAGTGGCTCTCGCGACTTAGGTGAAATTTAGTATAAAAAAAAACAAAACAACTGACCAACTTATATTAACTCATTATTTTTCTGAATCGATATTGTACAGCAAGAAAAAGAGTTGGTCCGTAGAATGAGAACAATCTACCCACGTCGGCTAAATAAAGAGTTGAATTCAAAATTCTAACGTATATCAGCTGAAGAAGGCCGGAACGTACAAAGAAACGTCATGAATTTGGCAATAAAGTCCGAACAATGTAAATAGCATATAGTGTATGCTGGCGTACAAGGCGACTTGGCGTATAAGACGACCCCTAATTTTTTAAGTCAAAATGCAAGTTTCTGGTTATATTTGGCGTACAAGACGCCCCCCACCAAATAATCGTATTTTAAAACGTATTGAAATTATTAAATAAATTCAGTAAGCATATAATTTCCTTTCACTCAAATTCTAATGAAAAAACTGTGGGGAGATATTGTCAATTAACTACTATTATCTACAATCCTTCATGAGTTGGTGCTGTGTTTTCGACAGACCTTTACGGTAGCCTGAATGACATTTCCTCGTTAGCCATCTACTTGTTCCACCCGAATGCGATCGTCAAACGGCTTCTTGAAATACACACCTACTGTTTTCTTTCAACATCATCGAAAAAAAGCAGTCGAGGCAGGGGTCAGCCTATTGTCAAAAATCTCCCATGATTACAATTTACGACAAAACACTGGACTTTAAGATTCACATTTTGTACCTGGAGTATAAGACGTTCCACTGTTTTTTTTGCGTGGGAAGGGGTTAAGATTAAAGGTCGCCTTGTACGCCGACATATACAGGGATATGTAAACTGGTTTAGTTGGCGTAGTTGACTAGTACGTGGTCTGCCTGAAATGTATCCATCCGTTTTAATATCTTGAAAACCATACTGTACTGCATTGATTCCATTTGGCAATCAATTCGATGGATTTTTTGTGCAACCGTGAACAGACCCTCTCGCGTGGTGTTACTCAATCGCTGGTGAGGTGCCCCAATGGGAAAAATCTTAGGTCGGGTAACGGTTCTTTAGTTGCATAGTCAAACATCAAAAGACCGATTGATGGCTAGGCAGTTAACCAAAACGAGCTGGATCAACCCGTTCTAGATAACTGAATACCACGATTGCTAATAAGAGTTGTGAACACTAGTGATGCTTACAATTTAAGTGTGACTGCAACTGGAAAACAGAATGGATCATCATCATCATCATCAGTTCCTTGACTGTTTCAATCGTCGGAGTGATCTAAGGGCAGCAGAAAGAGACAACCATCTCCAGGGTGATCTGTTGGTGGTGACCCTCATTTCCGGCATTTCATGTTCATCCACTCTTTGATGCTCTCTGACCAGCTCTGATGCTCTCTGACTAGGATGATTAGTGTGACGTGTGACGAAAGCAGATAGCCTAAACACCCATAAACGCACATATGAAGGTTAATTTCCGCCTAGCAACAGAATAAAGATTACGTGGGAGTCTTATGACATTTTGGGAAGGCAGGTCAAAAGGTGGACTGACCCAATTACCCGTAGCGACAAATGTCTAGACAGAAGCTAGACAGGGGACGAATTCGCGCCAAAACTTAAGACACGTGACAATCAGAGATTCATTTTAGAATCAGTTGCTATCTTGACTTTGAAGAAGCAAGACCTGAAGCCGAAGCGCTGATAGTTTATGAACGGAAAGATAAGACGCATTTGATAGTGATGGAACTTATCCAGTTCAACCCAGGCAACTCTGGACAAGAAATATAACAAGAAGTATTCCTGTTCGAGAACTCCAAATTGAAGACGCAGAGACGTTTATATGCTGCGGATTCAGCCTGCGTTTAAAAGAAAAAGAAAGCCAGAGAAGAAAGTGTATACCTCTGTTACAAGTTGAATTGTGTAAAGAAAAAAAAGGAAAACCAGAGAAGAAAGTGTATACCTCTGTTATAAGCTGAATTGTGTAAAGAAGAAGAAGGAAAGAAAGAAAGAAAGAAGAAAACCAAAGAGAGAAAGAAAGTGTATACCTCTGTTATAAGCTGAATTGTGTAAAGAAGAAGAAGGAAAGAAAGAAAGAAAGAAGAAAACCAAAGAGAGGAAGAAAGTGTATATCCCTGTTGCAGTGAGTCGGGTTTGGAAACCGAACTGTCTACAGAAGAAAAAGGAAGGAAAGAAAAAGGCAAAACAAAGAGAGGAAGAAAGTGTATACCTCTATTACAGCCGGACAGTGTGTGAAATTGTGTTTGTGTCGAGAAAAGAAAAGAAAGGACATTGATATAAAAAAAAGAGAACTGAATATAAAAGATAAGTAATCATATTTTGGACCCGTAGTGGAAAGATATACATACATCCATGAATATTATGTTCTTGCAAACACCTTTCCACATGTAAAAACAGTAATTGTAACTCCTATCCCATCTCTCTTGTGGGTACGTTGGCTTCTGCATTCAATCCATAATAATTCGTACTTATATTTTTGTATGTTCGGGTTCAGTTGAATCCATTTGGTATTAGGCGAATTTTGATATCCCAAAGTAAGTTTTGAGATCTGGTCGTCGGATGTTTTAACTCATACTTATCTGTTCTTTTATTTTGATATCTGTATATTTGTACACATTAAAATTCTTGTATCAAAATCGCTAAGCCTTATAGTTCATCCTTGTATTGTGGATCAGTATTCGTGTTGAAAACGAAGCTGACCTGGGAAAGATTATTGTTCGCTTATTCCAATCGAACAGTGGTCTTAAAATATTTTGTTTACCAATTATCCATTCTCACGATCTGAGAGAGATAGCTTGTATCTCTCCACGGGTGTGAGAATGTATATATCTCCTAGTCGGCGTATGATCGCCCTATAAACCCATTCGTCGACTGGGGCATATGACAATTAGGAAATCCAATTCTTTCAAACACATCTGAAAGGTTACGGTGTCTCCGGTCGAATTTCTGAACTGATTCAGACTTTCTTATAAAATCGCAAAATGAAAGTTGTCCTAAACAGCTACTCTTCTAGATCCTTTTGTACAAATACAAGTGTCCCCCGGGGGCTCATACCTTTTGTCCATAATTTCCATCAATGGCCTTCCTGATGGCATCAACTCTCAATGTGGTATCTTTTGCTGATGATGCAGCCATTTAATCCCGTCTCGATAGTCTGATCATTTCGATAAGGTCATATTGGCAACTGATCTCAATATGTTGTTAACTGTGGAAAACAATGGCTTGTTAATTTTATCATCAGTATAACGGAGTTCCAGGAGAGAGCCAAGAGGTACGCACATATTATCAAAGTAGATGGTCTCTTGGTAGACCTTCAGGAATTACAGAAGGTTGAAAAAGAATTGTGTCAGTATTTGTCGTTGACAAGCGTTCGCGCAAAACTTGTCTCTCCACAAACGACACAGTTATTAAATTTTTGCCGTCTAGGGGTTAAACACAAAAGAATTATCAAAGGAAAGGGATAATTTATTTGGGACATACTATTACCCAGTCAAGATTTAATAACAAAAGACCTCATACCTAGAATGGAATATAAGGGCAAGCGTAGGTGCAACATCTCAGTATATGAGATCCCGTCTCAGATCGTTGGGGAATATCTGACCGCTTATCTGGCTCAATTTGGACAGATTCTCAGTGCGTCCTCTGATGACCTCAACGGGAGATGGAACTTCGTGATTATGTTAGATAGTAAAGCCTTCGTATCTATCCCCAACTGTGTTGATCAGAAAATGCCAGTTATTGTGAATGGCCGTAGGCCAACATGTTGGAAGTTTGGAGAAACCGGTCGGCTTTCCTCTTCCTTGCCACTGGAATTCCGTATCGCCTGTAATGGGCCTGCCAGCGACCAGAACCGGTGTGGTAAGACCCCACTTGGGTTCATTTCGTGGCATCCATTCCCCGAAAAGCCTTTGCGTGCCGCTTGTGTGGTTGCGAAGAAGGAAGATGGGGAATGGCAGGGCATTGGTAAGACTAAAGGGAAGCTCCAGGTAGCGGGATCCCTGTCCTTGGAAACCTCCCACGGATAAAAGTATAACGACAGCCCCACTACTGCCAGATCCAAATGCAATGTCCCGGCTAGCTATTTTGGCAATTGTTGCAGTTTTTTTGTGTATACTATGTAACTAATGTGCTAGCCCAAATGACTTGACTCACTTTATAGTCCACCAATAGAAGGTTAACCAATCAGAAGACGTAGAATATTCAATCTGTCGTGTATAAAGGCGGCCATTTTGTTTACTCTCTCCGAATGTCCAGTGCCAGCTTGTCAGGCGAAGAGGAACAGAAGGAAGAACTACGCTCTGCCACTTTTACCAAAATATCCACTGCTAACCTGAACTACGCTTTCCTACTGTCTTCGAAATATTCACTGCTAACCTCTGGATTCTATACTCAAAGACGACGGTCATCATGAACAACATTTGGCAATTTCAACCATGAAAAGATTAACAATCAAATAATGTGTTAAAGTTATCAAAGCTTATTATGAAAATGGACGTTCAAATTTATAAATATACGGCCCAATGATTCCGCTAGCAAAAAATGCACACCAAACAGTGACCTTTTGTGGATGCCGTGGCTTTTCAACAATCTTCCTTGGATTTTCATCAGCCGAAATGCGACAATTTTGCTTATTAACGAATCCACCAAGATGAAAATGGGTTTCATCACTAAAGAGGATTTTTTGTGAAAAATCTTCATCGGCTTGTATTTGGTCGTGCACATCAATTGAGGAATGTACGGCGCTCCAAATAGTGAGCAGGTTCTTGTGTCAATTGAATTTTATAAGCGTGTAGCGACAAATCTTTTGTCAACATTTGATGTAACGTTGTTATGGAGAGGTCCATTTCCTGCACGCGATGACGAATACAGGTGTCTGGATTTTCGGCCACATTCTCGTGCACTGCAGCAATGTTTTCATTTGAACGGCGTAAATGAGCACGTAGCGGTCGTTTTACATCTGCCACCAACACAATTACGAACAATTTTTCCAATTACACTCTCGGTTGGTCGAATATGTTGACCCAAAAAAGTACGCGAAATGTATTTCTGTTTGAACGTCCATTTTCGTAATAGGTTTCGATAACTTCAACACGTGGTTTGATTGTTGATCTTTCCATGGTTGAAATTACCAAAGATTTAAGGACTTAAGTTGTTAAATCTAAAAGAAAAAGAAAAAGATCATTAGACGCTTAAACTTAATTCACATTTAAAATCGTTAAAATCGGTCCAAGTTATTGGAACACACACACACACACACACACACATATATATATATATATATATATATATCGGGCTACAGCAGTGGTAAAATAAATAAAATTTGGAGAGTTTAGTTAAAGGGAAATAACTAAGACATCCGGAAGAGGTATGGCATGTGGAACTAGATCAATCTAACCCGGTGGACAAAATAAAGGGATCGGTTTGAAATTACAATAATCTGAAGAAGGCCAGAGCGTACAACGGCCGAAAAGTTATGAATATGCCAATGATAACAGACCGAATAATGTAAGTAATGTAATCATAATACCTCATCTCAGAGATATAGGCAGATTGTTTTGTGTTTTGTTTTTTTGTCCCCCAGTACTTTCTGATGTTGCTACATTCGTTTTCAAAGATTTTATTTTTACTCTGTTTCTGTAACTGCTTTAGTCTTCCGTGTCCTTTCGTTTCTGGAACCAATTGCAACGACATTATAATGTTCAAACTGAATTTTTACGTATATTTCATTTTTTTTAATACACATTTCATTATAGGCGGTGGTATTTATTTTTCTGCACACTTAAATATATGGGATCATAGAAAAAATATTTTCACCTGATCCACATGTAAAAATCGACTAAAAATAATGGAAGCATTTATAATAAAAAAGAAAAAACCAACAGAAAATATGAACAGGGTCACAACGTGCTGACCGTGTTCGGAAGGGAAAATAACATTTCCATTACTATAGATACACATATATAAGAATCTACATATTCAGTTAAAATTAAATTTGAAAAAATCCTTGATAAATGCTCGTATATATAGAATATTTGAACAGTACTTAAGTACTTTATTTCCAAATAAGTAAATGTATGAATGCAAGAAAAATTGATTAAAATGTTTAATCACAATACATTTCCAGTCATCTTTAATAAAACACGCTCACACGCGTGCGCGCGAACACACACAACACATATATATATATATGAAATTCGAACGTGTTTTTTCACAAGTTAGTCGTCTACAAGACTTAAATATGTGCCTTGAACCTCTCAGTAGAATCCTATTTCTGCAAGTGGCTTTCAAAGAGGGAAATTTGGGGTGTATAGAAAATAGATCAAAGAGAGAAGTTACTATAGAAAGCAATTACTTGTAGCCACCATATTCTCAACGTAAATGACTTTACCCTTCAAGATGAGCTTCGAGTTAACCTTTGTATTTGTCGGCAATTGCCGTTCTGTCTGTTTAATCAGTACCAATAATAAGTAAAGCAAATTTTCTTGTTTAAATATTACTTTTTGTTTTTACCAGTTAAAATTCTTGCCATTATTTCTTTTATTTCTGTCTTCAATTTGTTTATTTACGACTGCTTTTGTTCTCGTCCTCTTTGAGTCAAAATAATATTTTCTTGCTTCTCTTTCATTCACTTCGTCCAAACAATCGACATTTGTCCATTTCCTGTCAAAGACCGACTCACACTTGAATTTGTCACTGGGTCAAGGAGGCCGATTTCTTTGTGCAACTGAACCTTATTAGTACCAATTATGGTAAGGAATTATTCGGGCCCCTCCCCTAAAATAAAAAAAAAAACAGGCAGTTTCTTAAAAGGTCACAGATAATGGATAGACTTTCAACAGGAACACATTTCACAAATTGTACAAGATTACACACTAAAATTTTCTTTAGGGGAGATTCCCTTTCTTTATGCCAAATAAGGATTCATTTGTTCATTTAACTTTTGTTAAATAAACAATCAGGCAAATAAAACTTTATTCATGTGTTTGCTTATTGTGAATTTTATTCATAATATATTTGAAAGAAAATTATTATATTTATCTATCTGTAGGCACATATATACAACTAGCAGTAGAGCCCGGCGTTGCCCGGGGATGTAACAGTAAGAGATAGATCAAGTATCCACTATCATAAAGACTGAAAAATAAAATTGACAAAGATTATTGTTTAAGGTTGACGGACACGCATGTCTTAATTAGTTTTTTTTTTTTTTTTACGAATTGGTCAAACCCAAACGCAAACAAAAACATTGTTTTCAATCGTTATGAGTCTACTGATTGAATAGAATTTTATTATAAATAATTGTCTTGTAAATGGAATTTTTAAAGCATTCTGAATGTTAAAAATAAAGAAAAAAGTGTGCAAGAGAATAAGAAACACCACCTGCCAAAAAAAAGTTTTGTTGAAATTGGTTGAAAAATGTAGGTAGCCTTTCTGTAATCTTTTAGTTTTACAATTTGATTTTTACTTATTGAATACAGTAAAAAAAATTGAATATTTTGCTTGTGGTAATTCATAATTAGAATTCTGATTTGAATATATTTTCCACTTGTTGTTTCTAATACAAAAAATATTAACTTTATTTGGGTTTATTAATTATGATCTAACAAATCTTATTCATTTAGTAGCCTTCTCTGTAATATATAATAATATTTTACAATTTAGGATTTTTACTTATTGAATACAGTAAAAAAATTGGACACCATGTGTATTTAAAGTAGTTTCCCGTTCCAGTTATTATTTTTAGTTAGGACTTGTGTATGTTTAGATTTCATTATCTTTCCCTAAAGATAAAGAATTTATTCCGATGTTTGTATGCGTACAATCAGTAGAGATCGTTAGATTATTGTTTAAGGTTGACGGACACGCATGTCTTAATTTTTTATTTATTTTTATTTTTTACGAATTGGTCAAATTCATAAAACGAATTGGTCAATATTCATAAAACATAATTAACATTAGACTATATTTAATTCAACATGAAAAGACTCTTATGTCCATCGTCTTTTCATGTTGAATTGAATATAGTCTAATGTTAATTATGTATTATGAATATGTCCTGAAGATGGTCTACTAGACTGAAACGTCCGACGTTGACATTATATTAACATTAAAACAGCATAATTGCATATTAGGATTTTTGTTTGTTTTTTTCGTATATTTTTTTCTTATATATATATATATATATATATATATATATATATATATATATATATATATATATATATATATTAGCTAGAAAAAAAGTCGAAATTTCTACGGCATTTTTTTATAAAAAAAGCTACAAAAAACAAAAAAAAAACAACCGGTTTCGTCACAGGTTATAATTATGTTTTAAAAAATAATTATAATCTGGTTATTACTAAACCTGAAAAAGGTTTTGATGTTGTTCTACTGGACTATTCAGATTATGTTTCTAAGATGGACAATATACTTGGTGATATATCAAAGTTCTTAAAATTAGGGCCAGTTGACACCCATGATCGTACAGCCTCTATTGAATCTAAATTTCAAAGGCAACTGTTAAAGTGGGTCAAGAGTGGTTTACTCTCCTCTGAAATTTCAGAGTTAATTAGATCCACTGGGTCCATTCATCCCGTTTGTTTGGGTTACCTAAAATCCATAAATACGGTGTTCCTTTACGACTCATTCTGTCTATGATTGGGTTTTCCCAGCATAAAGTCGCTAGTTGGCTCTCGAATGTCCTACAATCAGTTTTGTCTCACTTCAGTACATATTGCATTAAAGATTCCTTCTCCTTTGTGGAAATTATACGTAGTTCTTCTACTTATGGTGGGTTCATGTGTTTGTTTGATATCTGCTCCCTGTTTACATGTGTTCTCCTGTCTGAAATTATTGAGATGTGTTGCGACATATTGTATCGTACCTCTTTGTCTCCTCCGGATTTTCCTGAGGGTGTATTTGTTGAGCTTATGATGTTCGCTACTGCGTCTGTTGAATTTAGTTTTAATAATATTATGTATCGGCAGATCGACGGGGTTCGCTATGGGTTCGCCCTTGGGTCCAGCGTTGGCGAATATTTTTGTCAGTTTTCATGAGGCTTCCTTATTTTCTTCTTGTATTGTTTGTCCTCTTATGTATCATCATTATGTGGATGATACCTTCTGCCTCTTTAGTAATGAGGCTGAAGCCAACTTGTTTCTCAGCAAATTAAACCCTGTCCATCCCGCTCTTAAGTTCACCGTAGAAAAGGAGTCCAATTCTTGTCTTTCCTTTTTAGATGTTCTTGTTCATAGGATTAGTGAGAAGTTTGAGACTTCCGTATTTAGGAAGGCTACTTTCTCGGGACTTTATACGCGTTGGGACTCTTTTTTTTTCCCCAGACAACGATAGGTTAATTTGATTAAGGCCTTAATTCATAGGGCACTTAAGTTATGTTCTGATGGCCTTCTCTGCGGTGAAATTGAGTTTGTTAGAATGACACTTTCAAAAAACGGATATCCTTTGGAAGTTTTAGAGTTCGTTATCCAAGACGTCATCAGTAAATTTCATAGGGTTAAGCCGCATTTTGTTGATAAATGCCCAGTTTATCTGCGTCTTCCCTATATTGGTACAGAGGGTGAGAGTTTATCTAGACGAATTTCACGTATGATCAGTAGTTGTTATTTTTCGGCGAATGTTAGGGTAATATTTGTTACCCGTCCTGTTATCTCTTCCATTCGTAAGGACGTCCTCCCTCCTCATCATGTTAATTCAGTGATTTATCAATATAAGTGTAGTTGTGGACTCGACTACATAGGGAGGACGTCCCAGCGTTTTGATTCGAGAATAAAACAACATTTGTCCCCCGTCACGATTTTGAATCCGGCTGCCAGGAAGTGCCAATTAACGAACACTTCAGGCTCTGCTATTGCTGAGCATGTAATAAATAGTAGGAAATGTGTGGTCAATTTTAGTACGGACCGTTTTTTGATTTTATCTAGGTCCCACTCCACATTTCACCTCAAGGTTCTAGATTCCTTGTATGTCAGATCCTTTGTAAACAGAGGGAATGCTTACTGGGTCTGAATGTTATTTGACTCTAGTTTCTTGAAATCTTGAAATCATTTTTTAAACTTCCATTCCATTTCATTCGTTAATTTAATTTACACGCTTTTATAAATTTTCTATCCCCAGAAAAATAAACTTGATAAGTTCTGGGACAAAACTTAGCTTTTTTTTTTAATTTTTTTTTTTATAAAAATGCCTTATAAATTTCACCTTTACCTAGCTATTATTAAATTCTCTACCACAAAAAAAATTATATATATATATATATATATATATATATATATATTCTCCCGTCGAATTCGACGAATGAGGATCAAGCAGGTCAGTTCCTAGAACCGACAGCCCGACACCAGCACATATGATTTGATTATAGAGGGGAAGGCTTTGTGCTGAGCCAACCACTCTTTTTGAAGGCGACCTGGTGCAACTACGTGCCACAAGGTCCCCAAACGACCCTCCGCAGGTTTTGAATTCAGAGTTGTCCTTCCCCTAGACCAGTTGCCATCCAAGGCTATACAACCAGTCTGTCCTGCTATTTATCCATAGCTGGAGAGAGAAGAGGAGGATTAATATCTTTCCCAAAGGCATTAACACGTAAGTAAATATAATGAATTCGACTGGAATTCGAACTCGGCACTCCGAGCTCTTCTTCAATCTGAGCCGTTATCCACTGCACCATATATTATATAGTATATTTTCTGTTTATCCTTTATTTTTATAGATACTATTTATTTAAGCAAATGCTCTGTTTTTAATTAAACAATATTAATTACATTTATCGGCCTCAATTATCAAGAAACGTTGTAGAAAATACCCGTTTTCCGACAGGGATTGAACCTGTATTCCTATACGGAAACTATCATTTGATCTGACGTGCTATACCATTTAGCTGCAGAGAAGCGTTTGCTTAGCAAAGTCAGAATTACTGTTTTTAAACATACACTCTCCGACGATTCAGGTCGGTAAATGTAACTAAGAATAGTACATTTACTCAAATAAATTGTATCCATAAAAATAACGTATAAATAGAACATATATTAAACAACTGTCGGGCTTAATCCATTTCATTATATTTTGTCATTATTTACGTTAAGATATGACCGCTGGAGAAAAATCGTCGAAGATTATGTATTTAAAAACAGTAATTTGAACTTTGCTAACCAAACGCCTATCTGTAGCTAAAAGGCATAGCACATCAGATCAAATGACGTTTTCCGTATCGGAATACAGGTTAGATTCCTATCGCAGAACGCATATTTTCTACGGAATTTCTAGAACATTCAGTCCGTTAAATGTAATTAATAATGCTTAATTAAAAACATAGAATTGAATTAAATAAATTGTATCGATAAAAATA